ACATCACAAGTATATAAACAACTTCTTTCTAAAGAAAAGTTTTAAAATTTCAAAGAATATAATTCAAATTCAACAGAACAATTAAAAGAAATAATAATAAATTGTAAGATTGATTTTATGAATCAGATGCATAATTCATCAAATAAAATTTTGATGTTTTCCCTTTAAAATACAAATACATAAATTCTATGCAATTGAACAAATAGACTGTTCAACAAAATTTATGACCAAGAAAGAATTATCAGATTTATCAGAAATTAGGCACACAGGTTGTTTTATTTTTGAAATGCAAATAATTACACACTAATTCAAAATTAATGTATACAAGCAAAATATGCATTATATGCATTAATTAAGGAGAGATTTGATGTAAGTAATTTTATTATTAATGGAATAAATGAGCAAATTTAAACAAATTATTGATTAGTAGTCATAAAATATTTTAAACATTTTATCTGAATTTTCTGCTTTTATTAATGGCTACTGATAATCAAGTTTTTCTGCCTACTGATAATCAAGTTCCTCTTATTAGGATTAATAATGATATCCTCAAAAGCAAAAAGCTCTTCTAAATTGACATTTATTTATGGTCCTGTATATTCTGTGTTTGATCTAATAAATAAATCTGTTATTATTGCTAAATGAGAATGAACCATTTAAATAAGCCTGAAAAAAAAAAAGCACAAGCATAAATATCAACATATTCAGTTCCTCAAGTAATTCATTTACTTATTTGCTGCATAATATAACTAACAAATAATATTTATTTTACGCACAACTATAATAAAAATATTATATTTTTTAAAAAGGGGGGATTAATTTTGTGCAACAAAGAAAAATATGAATTTCTTCTCAACTCAAATCTTAGTTTTAAGCCTTACTTCAACATTACACACTAGTAACTTCAAAACACAGCATTCAGTTGTTTCAGTAATGAAGCAAGTAAATTGTAAATTCTAATCTGCATATATAAGCCTTGTACAGTTCAGTCTAGCCAACTATAATTTACAGATTATGATCAGATATTAATTATAAATTTCCTTTTTAAAGGTAATAAAAACTTCTTTTAAATATAATATTTGTATGATCTTGATTTTTTTTTAATGCCAAGCCTCTTAAGAGCTATAAACTTTCATGAGAACAGCGTTCATGGTTAACTTTCTAAGAAAAATCTGGCTTATGTTCATTTTGTACATAAAAAAATGAAGAAACTTCCATGCAGCCAGCTCATTCAATTACCTGAATTGAAACTAGTGGCATTAATAATGTTTTGAAAGATTAAGCACTTTGCTCCTAGTGAGAACTTTCATTCTGAAGCATTCAGTTATTCATGTGTTATAAATATTTGGAAAGTAGCCAAAGAACTCTATCTGAAATGGTTACAGTCTGAATCAGTCTAAATCATCTTTATGCACAATCATAATAGCAGAAAAATTGTACAATTATACTTCGCATGCAGAGGCATTGCACTTTTGTTCACATGTTATCACCTTCACTCTGTCCCATTTTTGCAGTTTTATCTGCACAGTGGATAAGAGTGCCTGCTTTAACATAAGCCCTGTTCGCTGCTAGTGCTGCTTGTATATATCTGCACGAATGTTGAATCACCCATAAGACCATGCAGTCAATGGTCATTAGTTATCACTTCAGTTGAAATAAGCTGATAAAATATGGCAGTAATTGCTGCCAAACTATACTGTTTCTGGCGAGTTTTAACATAGAACTTTAATTATATCAGATACTTTAGTGTGCTTGTGAGCATGAGTGGAGTGATATGTTGGGACCATCAAAGAAAACAAAAATCTACCATTTCAGCAATGAATGGGAGAAAGAGTTTTTATGTACAGACTTTGCGGGGGGAGGAAACAGTTTTTCAGTAGTGGTACCAAAGCAATCGAATGTTGAACTTCATTATAAAACCGATCATAAGGATTTCAAGCGTAACTATCCACTCAAGTCTGCTTTATGTAGTTGTAAAGTTCAGCCATTGAAATCTTTTCTAAAAGCTTAAAAAGGCAGTCTTTACACTCTTAAAAACAAAGCAAAGAAAAGAATCACACAGAAGCATCCTTCAAGGTACGTTACATTCTTGCATCGCATAAAAAAGCATATTCAGAAAGGCACTGTGAATGGAGAAGGCTGGCAATATCAGACTTTTATTTCATAAATTTGAAAACAAAAAATGAAATAATCTCAACTATAAAAGATGTGTTTATGTTGCAAGACATGGTGGCATAGTAGATGATGCAGATAACATTAAAGTGCAAATGAAATCTGATTTGGAAAAATACATATATTTTTCGATGCAGTTTGATACAGTCACTGATGATTCACCGCAACTTTTAATGTTCACAAGAATGCTGTTTCTTCATTTTTCCATTACAGGAGCATTGCTAATCATGTTGACTTTGACAAAACACACTCAAAAGCAAGGCATATACGATGCAGTTAAAAATTATATTACTGAAAAGAATGCACCAATAAAAAAATTCAACACACTCATAAACGATGATGAGCCAGTTATAATTGGGAATAATACTGGGTTTATTGGGCTCTCTAAGCAGAATAACAGATATTCAAAATTTAATTTATACCACTGCATTATTCATTAAAAAATTTGGCCATTAAAATGCTCAATGCCAATCCCGTAATCACTGTTATAGTAAGCATTATAAATTTTATCTGAAGGCAGTCTTTGAATCATCAACTTTTTTAAGCTTTTGCTAATCTAGATAATGAGTAAAGTGATATAATTTATCATGCAGAAGTAAGGCAGAAGATTTGTTTGAGAAAAAGTTTTAACAAGATTTGTTATGATACTATCAGAGATTAAAACTTTCCTCTTTCAATTATGACCAAAAATTGTACAGCATGGGAGTGGCTTATTGATTTGGCATTTTTAACTGATATCACAGTAAAACTGAGTGACCTAAATACTATGTTACAAGGAAAAGGGAAATGCGTATCAGAAGTGATAAACTCAATATTTGCTTTTCTGGCTAAAATCAATTTGCGGAACAAAAAGACTATCACCATTTTCTGTCATTTATCCTCATTCTAGACCCGAAATTTATTCTGGAGTATGATCCAGCTAAGTATGTTGAAAACTTCCCATTACTTAGTTCAGAATTTAAAAGAAGTCCTGTCTCTTAGTTCTAAGAAACTAGCTTTTATACATCATTCTATAAAACAAGAATAGAAGGAGAATTTCATAATCTCGTCAAGCACTTTAAAAACGTTTGTAGTTACGAGGCGAAAAATCTTATATTTATTTTGTAGGTAACTTCAGCCTGACTCTATAACCGTCAGAACTCTATAATTAATAACTTTACAATTGATAGATTTTAAAATGATCTCCCACAGAAATTCTGATTGAGAACATGCATTCTCTATTGTAAAACGATTATCACAAAGAAAAAAATTTTAGATGTCATAAATCCTTGGTATTTTTAAATTATTGCATACCATAATTTTTTTAATATGTTAAATTCCTACGATCATTTATAGGAGTAATTTGAATTTAATCAGCCTTCTAAAGAGCAATAACATGTAAAATGAGATTACATGCATAAATAAGAATGATTTGGATTCGAAATATTAAGAACAACAGCTTATTTTTTTTACATTACAGATGTTGCAATGGTTACTTTCAGCTCAACAGAGCTGATTCATTATGAATTCCCATGTCAACTTCAAATCGCATTGTAATTTCATTTCATATCGATTATCGTCTCATTGTTTAAAAAGGCATGCTAACTTTGTGTTTGTAGCCCATTTTATTGTTCACAAAAAAATCCTTTCTTGGAACATAACAGAAGTGACTTTGTTAATGGAAAAATTCTGTTTTACTAAAAAATCAGAGGCCGATTACAGATTCTTAATCTTAATACTGATATAACACTCAAAAGTACAAAAAATAAAAGTGATGAAAACTTTAAACTAATGGAGCATTTAGTTTTAAAAAAAAAGTTCTTTAAAATACAAAAACATACTTATGTGTACACTAAGCGTGAAAAAAATTGGGGGGGGGGGCTGGGTCAACAACACCTCTGTGAGCAGGTGTCTCAACAATTTAAAATAAAAAAAGCAAGTACAGATACATGTTGACTCCAGATTATCAGAAAAACAATGTGGTGCTGGCAATGCTGTGTAATCATAATATATGCCAAATTTTAATAAGTTGTAAGATAATACTAATAAACAAATATTTCATTAATAGCAAGTTAATGACTTAATGCAGTACTGACTTAAATTGACAATTAAATTACATTTTCTTGTATTAGAAATTAGTTTATTTGCATGTGTTTTTCTTTACTTTCTAATTTGAAATAAAATTAGTTTATACCTATATTACATTTGCATTTTTCAGTGGATTTTCTTCAGTAGGTTCATATTTATTTTACCTTATTATTTGGAAACACAAAATCATTCAGTAAAATTACTTACTTTCATGAAATTGTTGATTTCTGACAGCAGATATTTAAAGGTAGCCCTTAAGGCAAATCCAGTTTGACACCACTGATCTAAATTGTGTATTAAATACTAGTCTATGTGATAGAAAAAGCAGTATCATATGGGACTTTAACTTTCTTTAAATAATACAAATTCAAATACTGAATTCTGTTTCAATGTTAAGAGAATTCTAATGTTAACTTGAAAACAAATTCACTAGTAAAATTACAGTCCTTTCTCAGGCAACAAAACTAATATCTAGAAAATAAAATTTCCAAAAAGAACAACATTTTTTAACATTAGTTGATATTTTTTTAACCCAAAACAAAATATATGTGTGAATTTGTTCAAGGGGATGAAACAAAGGTTCTATCTAAAGATCTAGTATGGAAATCATTTATCGTAATGCAGAAGCTTCATAAAATTTAAATTCATGACATCAAAAACTTTGCATGTTTATATGATGTTCTGTAACTAATAATACACATTAGTAAAAAAAATCCCTTTATTAGCAACAGAATAATAAAATAAATTTAAATTTTTCTCACAAGTAATGATAACAAGCACAGTCCGAAGTAAAAGCTCCATGAGAAGTTGGTCCTTTTCTGAAAATCTTTCTATATCAAATTTTCTCTTCAGGAATGGCCAGATAATAGACAGAGGCACATACAGTTGCAGGGCATATGATAGGAATATGGCTAGAGCAAACATCAATCGAATCACTTCACTTACACTGAAAAAAAAAAAAAATTATGGTAAAAATCAAGTACTTTAATTTTTAAGAATTATAATAAATACAAAAGATATTCTAAATTCAAACAGAATATAAAAGGGGGCAGAGCACAATATAAAATTGTATTATTAAAAATTTAAAATTTTTAAATGAAATATGTTCAGGTTTTATATAAAAGCTTATTTATTGTACTTGCTTGAGGATGGTTTTAAAATGATTAGCTAAGGCAAAAAAATAAATAAATAAAACATTAATATTTTAATTAAATATTTTAATTAATAAAAACAAACATTTACAGATGTTCTTATTTCTGTTAAATTTTATATGAAAATAGAATAACTGAAAACAATTACTATGATAGTTTAGGAATAACAGATATGTAAAGTATATAAATGGATTTACTATAAGCAGATGTAAACAAGATGGGAAGATTCACAAATGGGAGCACAAAATCGATATTTTTCTGGCATCGTGATTAATTTTTCTAACAAGATAATAATGGAATAAAAATAATAATAATAATAATAAAGAGATAGCTAACTATAACTAAATTTCATTGGTAAATGATTAAACTTAAATGAATAATAATACTTACTTAAAATTTAAATGAATAATAATAGTACTTACTTAAAACTTAAATGAATTTCATAAATATATGTACTACATTAAATACATTCATATGATACAATGTATGTATTCAGCAAGGCTAATTTGAAAACATACAAATGAACTAACAGACTTAGTATTACATTTTTTTAATTTTAATAATACAGTAACACAGTTGGGAAGACTCGAAAAATTTTTTTATCATGAAATGTTTAAAAAGTTATTTTTTTATTTGCACGTAAAAGATTTCTGCATTAATAACAAAGAATAAGCAATATGGTGGCTTTCTAATAACAAAGTAAATCTAATTTGTATGACACTTTTGCAATAGCCTAGCCTATACATTCATGCATCATTACGGTCGTTATTAAAATTGTAACAGCAAGCAATTTAACATTTTCATTGTGATTTTTCTCTTTTACTTAGAAGCAGCATAAGCAGTAAGCATCTATTGCACTTACAGTGCAATTGTAGTATGACATAAAATGAAATAAAAACTAATAAAAATCAAGAAAGAGCACATTTCAATTCATACAATGTTCAGTAATTAACAGTAATGCAAGATACAACATCTACATTCACCATACTAGCAAAAGAAGCAAACTGTGAAATTATTATTATAAATATCACAATTATCATTATTACTTGATGCAAATATGATTTATGTTTCCGTTCATTTCTCTCACAGATACTGACACCATCTGAAGTCTAAAAACATTTGTTGGCAAATTTTAACATATATAACCAACTGATATTAAGTAGTTATCATCCCGTCAACCATGAAAATGGTCGGCCATCAACAACCGTTGAAAGCCAGCCATCAAACCTTCTGCCAGCCATCAAACCAATGAAAGCTGGCAGAAGATTTCGCCAAAGTTGCACTTACCATTCTTGCAGTATTATGTTGTGTTTTTTAAGGGTCAACTGCAAATGCAAAGCTAATATTAAAATCAATAAATCTTCTAAAATAACTAATTGAAATTTGAACTTACGCATTCTGAGGCAGATTAAATGTGATACTTGACTTGACATCATTCCCATACTTTAAATACCCATAAAAACCAACTCCTGTATATAAGCAGGCAACTACCACCATACCTGTATTCAACACACCATTTAATCCACCAAAATCCTCAGGAGTAGCCATTGCATTTTCCAAAGGAAGAACCTAATATACAGAATTAAAAGAATAGTAAAGTTACCATTTACAACAAAAATTGTTAACTTCCATTAGAAGTTATAACCTTTCACAACAAAGAAAAATAAATAATTCTGTATTTCTCTACAGCTATTTTTATTTTTGTACGGCTTTCTTGAAACCTGAGTGTATACAGCGCAGAAACTTTCCCTAAAAGTTAAGAAGTAGATAAAAATTACTGGAAGTTTTATTAGATTTCTATAGTACTATAAAAAACAAAAACTATTATTAAAATAAAAAATTCATAAGGAATATATAAAATACTTTACACAACTAATATGAAAATCTAACAGAAAAATTGCTCCTTTGCAATGGCTTAGTTATTTAGTTACATATACAAATATTTTAAGTGCTATCAATTAGGTGGATTTCCCCCCCCCACACACACACACACAGCAAGCAGACTTTACTTCAAATTTATTTAGCACATAAATTATTCTCCTACTAAATACAGTTATACATGTCTATAAATATTTAAAAGCTTTTTCATTGCTTTTCTATTTGTGGCCTCTCATGATTTCTATATCAATGTTTATTTCTTAAATATATATACTGTTCTGAGGACAGCATTCTGGGAACTCATTCTACATCAGACCCATGCCTGTGCATACATACATAAATACAGCTCGGATTTATCCCCGACTTGTTTCAGATAGATGCTAATATAGTGATAATGCAGTTGATTATAGCTTGTCATCAAGTACATAAAACAATTATTTCCCATACTGCCTTATCCTTTTTCTGCTGGCAAAGATATCAAGTGCAAAATCAATGGCAGAAAAATGTTATAAGAATAATGTAAGTTAGATTTCTTACACAGAGCAGTTCTTCACCATATCTTACATACAAATTACAAGAGTTTCCTCACATAAATAATAATAATTTCATTTAAAATTGGTAAATTTATTTTAAATTATTATTATTAAATGTTATTTAAATTGATTAAATTCCCTAATGATAACTAAAAATGAAAATATTCTTTTGGAATGCAGCATTTGATAACAGCTTAATTAAATGGATCCATTTAGACATTCAATGAGAAAGTATCAAACCACTCATTTTAAAACATTTTCTGTAATTCAGTATTACTGCCAGCTTCAGCTCTAATACATCATGACTTCAGTTACAAGACAACTGGAGCTATGAAATTTTCCCTAGATAAAAACTTATCAAATCTTTCTGGTTAATTAACCATAAAGTAATTTCTTATGAATCTGAGATTACTTACCACACCAATTCCTTCAAATGCATACATGGCTGTTCCAAAATAAAGAGGCAGCTTTGAAAGGGAAGATGTGTACACATCCAGATTTGTGCTCTGATGGCCTTGTAATAAGTAGTACAATACCATTATAAGACCAACACTCTGTAACACATTAGCCAATGCAGATGCAGGCGATAACTTCTTGAGATTACGAATGAAATTAAAAAGAATCATGAATGGCAAAAGTATGCCCATGTAAGCTTTAGGCCCAATAGGAGAATACCCAATTAGGTTTTTGCACACCTGTAAATAAAGCATTTTCATTTATAAACTATGACAAAAGCCAATGCAAAAATTTATCATTGTGGAAAAATGTGAAATATAATAAATATCACACATAAGGCCATTTAAATATTTCCTTTTATTTTACTTTTCAGACATATTTTCAATTCAGTTTTCATACTGAAATGATACAATTTTAGAATCTAAGAAAATCGATTGCCAGCAATTTACCACCTCAGCTATTTATTTCATAAGCAATTTATAGCATACAACTGATTGCTAGTGTATTTATCGCCAGGTAATACATATAATACTTTTTACAAGTAATTTGCCTTTTAATTTTTCCCTTTTTTATTTAGAATTCTTCCTTAAGAGTGTAATAAAATAAAATAATTTACAAACCAATCTGATATGCATGTCTAAAGATTGGACATTTTCCCTTGTACTGGACATTTCCACAACACTGCTTATCTTTTCTTAAAATGGCATAGCCACATATTCAACTGAAATCAAAGCAATAGCTTTCCTCCCTCTGCGAGATCTTATGTTAAATCAACTGATCTCTTCAAATTTAAGAATCATCTCTGCAGACAGTTGACAGACACTGGACTAGAATCACACCTTATATCCATTAACCCCTTGGGTACATTTGATGTCATTCACTTTTTTCCCCCTAGGAGCGGATGACGTGTCTAAGATGTCAAACCAAAAATTAAACTCTTGGGTACATTTGACGTCTGAGAGACGTCACTCACTTGTTTTCCCTAGGAGCGGATGACGTGTCTAAAACGTTATTTGAGGTTAGGCACAATTCTGTTCATTTCATTGTAGCTTGTATCAGTCATAATAGAAGAGGCAATTACAGCATTTCAGTGAACATTATTTGGGATACACTGCTCCATTATATAAAAAAAAGGAATATATTTCATGATAGTGATAGCAAAAGTGACTTTGAGAAATCTAAAGAAGAATTAATTGTTTAGTGATCCTAAAATTGACAATTACAACAAAATACAAAGCGAAGGTGAAAAAGACGATATTGAAATAGAAAATGCTGACAACTGTAATATAATATCAAGGTTTCGAAGATGCACAAGATGTCTATCGAACAGTGATAATTAATCTTCTCATGAACCAGTATCAGAGGAATGGACTTGGGAAGAAGAAATGTAGCTGACATAAAAAGTTTTTCTGGAATTAATCCTTTGAGCCTGCGTAGACTAAGTGGTAAACCTAAGCCTTTAGATGTTTTGAAAGAAGTCTCGAATGAAGATTTTTGGGACACTATAGTAGAAGAGACGAATAGATATGCCAGACAAGTGATAGAAAAGAAGGTTGTGTAACAAAAAAAAAAAAAAAAAAAAAAAACCAAAGGTGGTTTCCTGTATGTTCTGATGAAATGAAAGCTTATATTGCATTATGCATCTTGATGTCACAAATGAAGAAGCCAAAATTGCATATGTATTGGTCAAAAAGATATACAATAAGTACTCCAATTTTTGCCAGCACTATGCCACGCAATAGGTTTTTTGATATTTCAAGCTTTCTACATTGCACGGATAATGAAAAGGAAAATAAAGATGACATAATAAGAAAGATTAAAAATATAGTGGATCACCTAATATCTGTTCCACGTGAAAATATTTTCGCAAATAAATCCGTACCCAAGGGGTTAAGGTCTGCAACTTCTCCAGGGTAATTGATGCACAGTCACTTTCTCATAAAAAACTTCACAAGCAAAACCTGATCTTTCATTGATAGAGTGATGATGAGCTTCTCAGAAGCAAAATACTGGGAACGGCACGTACTCCATGTTTTTATTATAAGTGTAATGTGTGGTGCACACATCACATAATTAGTATATTATCATTATTACTGTTTAATTGGCATATTATTATGAGTGCAATGCCATCTATTGATAAAGTATTATCTATTTTTCCCTCTATACATTCAAATCAAATTTCAAATCACTCTGACCAGTAGGTCTTTTCTTACAGCCTTTTTGAAAGTGAAACTTTGATTATAAACACCCTGTACAGTATAAATACTGCCTCATCACATTAAAGCCTACTCAGTAAGCCACATAATTCATGTACCATACTCTTATTTTACGATCACAAAAAAGGAAAATAATACAACATTACTTAATTAAACTTATTTAGTTTTCAATTTTATTTAATATATTAAACAAGACCTAAAAAGATGCTTGCTTAAAACTCTTTTAACAGAACATCTAAAAGGATGCTTTATATATACATATATTACATTAAAATTATAAATATACACATATTTTATGTATTAAATTTTTAAACAATTTCTCTCTTACATGATTTTTATAGCCATCCAAATCTTGATAATTGATTTTGATGTCTGAAATTCATTTCAACAATTTAATCTTTTTCTTGTATTGGGAAAAACAATCAGTAGGATTTGTATGGATCAAGTTGGATAGATAATTAAGAACTCTTTGTATTCACTTGTGATTTTCTCTTAATTCTATGTTATCATTAAGTTATGAAATACAGGGTAAAATATTTATGCTTTCTGAATTGTTCAAGACAATAATAATATTTTTAGATGTGTTTGGAGTAAAAAAAATGTACTTGCTAGCAAGATTTCAAGCATAAAATAAAAGTGTATACATGGTTTCAATTAGACATACATGAAAATAAGATATTTGTGTAATGCTGTCTATAATCCTGATAAAAAAAATGATCTGATGCGGACACCACATGACTTCCTTGTGCTTCCTACTAAATTATATACAATTTTTGCTATACTTCACTTAAACTTATTTCCTAAAATTTCATTAGAGATACATTTCTCATTCACTCAATTCAGTTCTCATTTTCCATTAAGGCAAAAATACAAAACTCGACGCATCTTCATTTAAAACTGTACAATACAAAAAAACCCTAAACAGACAAAAGCATTTAAAAAAAAATTTCTACAACTGAAATTAGAGTTTCAATGTCAAAACAAGCAATTCAGCCAATGGACAGGAAGACTAAAGTTTCGGCGCACAAAATTGAAAACTAACTTTTGGTCCCACTGGGCAAAAAGACACTAAAGTTGGTGCCTCAACTGACTTAATTCACTATTCTACAAAATTTTTTTATATGTAGACAAATGATGGCCTCATGGTTTAAGTGGCCTAGTGCCACTTAAACTTTTAAACTGCTGTTAATTCTACACTATTACCTGTACATTAATGAAAGCATAAAAACGTTAACCAGAACATAAGAACATCATACTTCAATCACTTTTAAAGCAAAACACGCACATTTTCCCAACATACATGAATAAAAATGCTGAGCTCACCGAGCCTGGTAACAGGGTGGGTATATATATATATGTAAAAAAATAAAGAATATGTGAAAAATTAAATTAGCAGCGTAAATTAATTTTCCTTCTCTATTCTAAAAATAGCAACATCTATTTGCACTGCGACATTTCGAGAAAAGTCTATGTCATATGACTCTTATGTAATTCTGGTGATGTAAATTGAACTAAACTCATGCAGCCAATAATAATTTTACAGCAATATTAACTATCCAATCAAAATGCTTTGAGAACCAAAACTAACTCAGTTTGACTAAGATTTCATCCTGAACATTTCACACTTTCTTTCTACGCTTTGCCTTAGCTGGACTGCAGTCTGTTTGCTTCTTCTTCTTTTGCTGCAAATCTATCAAAAATGTAAGCCCTTTGGAACAGGCACATTTAATGCACCGACTTGTGTGTAGCCACAACATGTTGCTGAAAATAAAACTGAAGATTTAATCTGCCTTCGCCTCCAATTTCCTAGTCATTATGGATCAACACTTCTATGACATCAAAATTCCTGCTCCTGAATATATTACATATGTAATGATATTTTTAAATCAATTGATTAAATTAAATTCTAATCATATTGCTTAATAATATGTTGGCGATTCTCTACCTAAATTGCATCCCTGTTCCTAAATTTTGGCGAAATCCTTTCTTTATTATAAATTATATTAACCTGTAAATCTGTCATATTAGATAAAGTCCTTAAGAACACTCCTGATGAGAAGATAGCATCACCTCATGATTTCAATTAATATCGCTGATTGAATGAGCACCATGATGCACACATATCTATAAATAGGGCTTCTCCTTGAGGTACAGGAGGAACGCTTGTGAGATGGATGCTAAAATAAACGTATCACTTTATAATTCAAAATTTGTCTCATTCCTGTTGGCCCGGCTGCACAACACAAATAATATACGAGATTCTACATTTCATATATATATATATGCGTGTGTGTATGTTTGGTGCATAAACGCATGTTATAACAAACCCATATACAAAATTTAAACATTCTACAGTTACTTGTTTTTGAGTTATGTGAGATACATAAATACATACAAACATCATGAAATAAATATCTTTTGAATTTATTTTAAATAAAATACATTTGATCATCTGTTTTGGGAGAAAAATGTCCTTTATTCTGTCTCTACATACAGATGTTATGCAAAAAAAAAAAAAAAAAAATCATTCAAATAGATTCAAGAGCATTCAAAATGACTATTTTCATTGAAATAAGATACCCAAAATGCTTTGTGATAACAGTTCCTTTACTTTGCATAAGGAAGAAGAGAATTCAATTTTACAACCATTATATTCAAAAAAGTAATTACTAATACTATAATGAATTAATTAAAGCAAATTAAAAATATCCATACTGAGATAGAACAAGAGCAGCAAGAAGTATTTCTTCTCATTTAAATATTAAAAATAAATAAAATTTCTATAAATGTCATTCAAGGACTGTTATCAAAAACTGGAATAGTCTACAATCTATGAAATTATCCTAAAGGCATGAAGTTAATTCTTAAAAGTAATAGGAGGAACAAAGCAGAGGTGTTTGAGATCTTTTCATAGAGCATACATGAGGAACAATACGGATGTGTACAAGATATTTTTATAGCACATAAATTTTTAGTTCACTGTATAATTTGTACAATATTCCTAATATTCTTTGAATAAAAAAGACATCTGCTTTTCAAAAGTCGCTTTTATATGTCAATAAAAGTGAAAAATGTCTCCTTTCCTAATATTTTTATTTTCATTCTTCAACTTTTAGTATAATATTAATTTATTCATTTAACATATGGTCTACTTGGCAATTTTGCATGGCAAGATTAATACAGTACAAAGTCTAAAATCTGGACTCGTCGGGACTTTCTTGTCAATCGAAATTTTCTCGTTTTCAGTAACTTCTCTGTCACCTTCGTCACTATCAGTAGTGGTACTTTCTGCATCTAAAACCATACTACAGATTTCACCATTCATGAATTGATTGATGATTAAGAAGCATTATCACCACAATAAAAAACTTCTTTTACATCATCTTCATTTATTACTTGCCTCTCCAAATTCCTTTACAAAATCCATTAATTGGAAAATTTCACCTTTGTTTTGCGATATCTGAAAACCTTTAAAATTAGCAGCTATCATCATCAAATTTAGCTATCCTTCACTATATGTGTTTGGCTAAGCATCATGAGCTTGGCAGCTAATGACAAGTTGTTCTGTTAAATTTTATCTTGCTTTTATCATGCACTGAGACAATTAAGCCTGAATTGTATTAGTTTAGTTATTTATTATACTTATGTCTATTTTTTGCACATGCTTAAGGCTTAAGTTCTGAATAAATAAATTCCCACATATACTTAAGCTTTATTGAGGGCCGGCACTAGATATCTTACCACCTGATCTCTGTGGGTCCTAAATTCTGCAACTCAGCACGGCCATACGAGTCCTGGCACTGGTTCTGGGTTTATCCAAATAGCAAATCAGTTATTCTTAATTCAAATAGCTCTAAATGTAATCTTTGGGTCTATGAGTATCATCAACAAAATCTATTTTTAGCATATGGGAAGAAATTTTTGGTAAAATTTTCCTCGTCAACATTTTTTAGTGTATTTAACTGAAATCTGTAATCATCGCCAAACATATTGTCAACATAAAAGGTTACCACACTCCTTTATTATTCAAATGCTTACATAAAACAGTTCTTTAGGCATCGCTACATGAGTCATTATTCAAGTTGTTATGTTTTGATAAACATGCAGTAATGAAAGGAAAAGTATAATAAATAATGATTCGCCAGGTTGGCGTCAGATCAACGATGTATCTATGTGGACTGTTTCGGTTTGAGAATATGTGCCAAGCAAATACGCAGCAACGAAAGTCAAATTATGGGTCGTACTTCTTCAAAAATGGTGTTTATTTAGTGAAGTGAAATTAAGAATCGGGACTCTGCCATGTTTTATTATGCGCAGAGGGGGAAATAAAATGCGCATGCGTAGGGCCTACGAGAAAGATTTTGTTGGTGGTATTGAGGTCTGGATTTTAGATCATTCCGGATAATGGACATCCGGATTTCGGACTTTGTACTGTACTAGCCTACAGCAACCCAACTACATTCCTCTGTCTGCTCCTTTGAGTTTGTCAACTTCCAGTGGCATTCTTAATCCCAGCTTGTAATTAGTAAGTTCCTTTTCTTCAAGAATTTTTTTTTTTTGTAATTATTATTTGCACTGTAATTTTATTGATGCAAATTATTAATTTAGTAATTTTATTAACTTAATTAAGTATCGGATTATTTATCTACTTTGTAGCTTTTGTACAGTTTTTTAAAAATTTTTTAAATTACATTTAATATTTTTATGTAAATTAAGGTAAACAGACTTTTTTGTAAAAAAGGCACATTTATTTTTGGAGGTGCTAAAAAAATTTTATTTATTTATTTATTTGTTACCTTGGTTTCTTTTAAGCATACAGAAACAAACAGAAAAAAGATTCTGTAGGAAAAGGAGTGTTATTACTTAATGGCGGGCCTCCTCTTGACAAAATTAAAGTGTGATAATACAGCTTTTCCATGTGTATTTTTACCTTCACTTTAATCTGTTCTATTCACTGGCACTCCCATTTTGAATTTTACAATTTTTGTAACTTTTAACAAATGCAAAATAATTTTTATAATTTTTAGTTCACTGTACAATTTGTATAACATTCAAACATTTGAACAATTCCAATTTCATTAACCTTTACAAATATATATGTATACGTATGTGTACATATATATTTGCTCAATTTCTTTTGCCTGCTTAGTTACACTGTTATAAAAACTATATGATATACTTATTATCCTACTGCATATTGTACTTTAGTACATATCTGCTATTCAGTATAACAGAATGTATGATTTTACAAAAAGCTTAAACTTTACAAAACTCTTAAAATTGCAATAATAAAGCATGAATTTACCTCATATAAACTCTTTGATACAAACAGGAAATAAACACAACAGAAGCCAAATTGTGTGAGCATGAGCATAGTATTCACTGCTTGTCTAAAAAACAAGAAGTACAATAAAACATCTAAAAAATACATAACTCACATTAATATATGAGTACAGTGCATGTATTAAAGGAAATAAACAATACAGAATGAAATGTCTAGAACAGAGTTTCTTAAACTGTGGGTTGATTGTTTTCTTAAACTGTGGGTCAGTGTTTCTTAAACTGTGGTCCTGCGAAACGAAAAATGTTTCAATGCATTTTTTTTATAATAGAAACGTTAAATTTACTTAAATTAATGAACTAAACATGCAATAGTATATTACAGTACAAGTGAAGAAACTGATAGTTTCACTTACGCGTTTGTCAGATTTGCGCAATGTTTATGGGGTCCCACAAAATTTTAATAAATATTATGGGGTTCCCACACCAAAAAGTTTAAGAAACCCTGGTCTCAAAGTAGAGGTATGACTAATATAGGCAAGCATATAAAAGATTCACAAATTTCATCTTAATATATGAAATACGTGATTACACATTTATATTTCTTGTATTCTCACACTTAAGCTTTTATTCTCATGCTTAAACTCACATGTAAGCTTGTATTCTCACACAAAAAGTTTCTATTTGTGATGTCTTCATATTATAAAATTCATCTTAAATAATCAGTTTTCAAAAACACATTAATACTGCAGAAAAATATTACAGATAATCAACTTTCAAACATATAAAATTAATGGATACAATTTAAATTGTTTAGTAAAATCCAAGTGCAAGGGTCATTTAATAAGTCTGGCGAATTTCTAACAAATAGAGTCAATTCATTTTATGGCATCACATTGGCAGATGTTTCTCTTCAAATTAACAGAGTCCAAATTTCAGGAAATAGTGATGCATTGTTGACATTCTATAGGCAGTTGTAGCAAACATTAGAAAAGTTGAAATAGAAGTGAAAAAGATGATTCACTAAAGTGATAAATGATTTTTATTAAAAATTAATAATAAACAGTTGTTAAGATCAAAGCCAACTGCATAAATTAATAGCAATTTTGCACCAACACTGAAGACTAATTCCAGAAAAATGAGTTTAAACAGAATGTATTCTGAATGTCCAGCTAAAGTCACCATGATAGATACTGTTTCAAAAGTCCATGGTATTGTTATGGAAAGCTACCAATTTTAAATGTATAAGACAGCTGACATTACAAGCATCTCAGATGAATGAGAGTTTGATACCCTACATAAAAATTTACAGACGGAGGAAAAAATTTTACAGCCATACTTATTGATTGTTAATTTAAGTCCACATGAAAAAAGATTTTACAGCAGTATTTGGTAATTTTCAACTATAATCTGCAGGATTTTCTGTCTGTTTAAAGCTTCACATTAAACTTTAATCCAAGATAACAAGAAGTCAAAGATAGTGACAGATGAAAATGTCCCCAAAATGGTAAAAGCCATTTTGCTGAAAAGAAAGGTAATGGTAGCTATTTGGAAGATTCTTGAGAAATCATCATGATCAAGAGAAAAACAATAACAAAGGTTTATTACAGTCAAAAGTCGTTAATCCGGACTCGTCGGGACTTCGGCGATTCCGGATTATCGATCATCAATTTAAATCTGGTAAGATGGCATGCAGAAATTATAAAATTAAAAATATGAAACCGTAATTTATGAAATAAACAGCAATTATGATCTACAGGGTATCGAAATTTACAAAAAAAAAAGCTTAATATTTATTTGTTTACTTTATTAAACATTTCTTTCAATGTAAGCTGTTTAAGTTGCTTCGTTTCTTATGTGATAATACATTCTCTTTAATTCTATAAACAGACATAATTTCTTGTTCAGTTACAAAGTTCCGCTGTTCAAGTCCTATAATTGCTGTGTCTACCGACTAATTTGTCAATCGAAATTTTTTCGTTTTCAATAACCTCTGTTACTTTCTTCGCTATCGGAAGTGAATTATAATGACGAGGAATTTGATTTAAATCATATCAAAGACGGAGAGATGAAATACTACATTTAGTAAGTAATTATAAGCCAAATAAAATAAAAACATCTGCCCTGAAGATAAGGATAGTGCTGACAGATCAACTTGCAATTCTTTGCGTGCCGCGGCGTTAAAGATAAACAAAGTTTAGATAAACAAACGTTAAAGTTTAGATAAACAAATGATATGCCTTTATCCATTTTTTGCAGCAATTCCACTTTTTGTTTAATGAACTTCGAAATACTTTCGCTTTGTAGATCCTTTACATATTAATAAATATATATCAGAAATTCTATTTGACATAATCGAAAGTTCAAGCTTACTTTTATAAAATTGCTCTAACAGTCTGCAAAAAATAATAAGCCAGATCCAATTTGAAGATTAAGGAACAACGCAATCTGCAACATTAACTGAATTAGATAATTTTAGCTTAGCTTACACCGTCCGTTATACATTAAACGCGCACTCGTAAACATATATAGTGCACGCGCACAAGCATATTCGCAGCCGTAAAGGTCTTACAAACTTTCTGCGCACGACACATGCGCAGAAAGTTTGTAGCTTTGAGGTCCGGATTATGGGTGTCCTAATTAACGGCTTTTGACTGTATTGCAAAGTTACTGGATAGCTTGAAAGAAGCCATGAAATAAAATCGGTGAAGGTTACAGCACAAAAAAGGGGGCTATTTTCCTACGACAACTCACTATACAACAAAATGACTGTCGCAGTGGCAAAACTGCATAACTACATTCAGATTTGTCCTTAATTTACAACTTTGTTTCAAAACCTGAAAATTTATCTTAACTGGGAAACATTCTGAATGAATAATGAGATATCATCTCTGTCAACATGCATTTTGCAGCCTTCTTCAAAGTCATATTTTCCACTGGTTCGAAAAAAGAATTTTAACTTGTCACACTGAATCTCAGTGGCGACTATATTGAGGAAAAAATTTACTTTTCCCAGGGGAAAAAAAAAACAAAATTCAAAAGAACCTTATATTATTCAAATTCCTATAAATTTAAGCAGTGAATTTTAAATTAATGCCATTATTAAAAGTTAATATTAAACAGTAAAATATATTTGGACATGCAACTGAATACTTAAGACATTAATTAGTAAATTCACTGCAAACTATATCAATAAAATGTTTAACTACTTGACCACCATAAAAATTTTAGAAAATATTCTTGGTGAAATAATGATTATCATTCATCAAATTGATACTGTAGAATACATCTAATTGATCCATTACATTATCATTTAAATTTACAGATCTCATGAACGATTGATCAATTTGGGTGAAGCTATACTTTATCATTATTCATTTCTTATGAATTTGGTTTTCTATTATTTCCTCCATATAATTTTAGAATGAAACACATTTCACCATTTTATAGTGCTCTGTCTGAAGGAAAGCATTCACACAATTCAGATAACCCATATCCATACAGTAATTTCTATTTATTATTTTATGTAATTATGACAGATTATGACTAAAAAATATAAATACAAAAATCCCATGAACAGGAAAAGATTATGATTAAAAGCAATACCTCAAATGTTTTTGGACTGTGAATATAGAGAGATGGGTCAAATTAATATTAACCTCAATCAATATTCCTTTATTTATTACAATATTGTAAATTATTATGTTCACTATTATAAATTATAATTTGAATGCTACAAATGTTCTATGTATAGGAACATAATGCTGTTGCAAGACCACAATACTTATGTCAGTAAGTAAATAATAAAAAATTAGAAAGCATTTTATCAATAAATTTCAGAGCACACAAACCTGCTAATTTACCTAAAATATGTAATACATCTAATATGTAATACATCTTATTGCCCAAAAATGTAATACTTTTTATTGCCCTTTGATTATGTATTTCAGCATTTTTCTGTTAAAGCTATGATATACATTTTTAGTCTCACACTGTCACATTTTTCTTCACACCTTTGACTCATTACTACATGAAAGAGAACAATTGAAAATAACAACATGGAAATGTTATCTAATTTCAAAGAAAAATCTTCTATAAGCCCCATTGCATTGGCAGAACATCAGTTTCTGAAATTTTGTAGAGTCTGCTAAATTTAATATTAGCATGAGATAACACAGAAATTGGCATATACCTTTGATTAGTAATTATTCCAATTAATTACTATGTTGCAATTAATTTGAAGCAAGCTCTGGTCTCCAAAGCTCAAGAGACATGAACTCCTAACTTAGTAAGTAAATGAATCGTACAACATCAATAAAAGAAATGCAGGATTAAAAAAATCATAACTGTGTCTGGACACCTTTTCCTTCACATGAATGAAAGCTGCTCCATTTAATTTCATATGGGAAAAAAGGAAACACTAGATGAAAAACATCATTGCATTACATTTCACTAGCAATGGTTACAAGATAATTATCACCGGGGGGGGGGGGGGATTTGGTGACAATGATGCTGAGAAAATATGCAAAACACAATTTTGCCAAGTGGAATGGCTTTAATGGGAAAAAAAACTCACATTTCTGTACAATTCTTTTTAATATAAACAAAAACTATAGGGGGAAAAGATAATTCCATACCTATTATAAGAATTCAGTTTCAAAACATAACATCAAATTCCATTCTGACTGAAAAAATTCTCCAAAAGATGGAGAGGAAAAAAGACTTATGCCTACCATTATATGTTTTCATACTTTTTCTCAAAATGAATAATATATAATATACAAGAGTTATACTATAAAAAATTATACAATAAAAAGTTAATTCTCTGGGAAAGAGGAAAATGCCAAATGTGAAATGTGAAAATGGATATGTGAAGATTTCTGAGAACTGAGCTTATAAAAAATACCATTCACATTAGAAAAGCCAAATAGTGGAAGGAAAACAAAAACAGTCATCCTATTTGTATTAAACTTGAATAGCGAAGGCCTATATTTAACATTACACAAGATTTTGGAAAAAAATGCATTTCAGACAGAAAAGCCAAAATATTTTCATAGGCGTTAAACAGAAAGTAAAATAACTTATCGACTGTCAAAGTTGGCAGAGATCATTCCACATTTACAGCAATCATTTTCAGCAGTCAAGAAATACAAGTATGGTTGTAGCCTATAAAAAACTTAAATTGCTCATCATCATTTTTCACGGTACATCATAATCCTTTTTCAAATAAAGTCTCATCTTGTGCCCATTAACACACAACTTTTCTTGGTATTAGAATCCTGCAAAGTTGTAAGCATTCCACTACATAATGATCCATCTTAGGCAGATGACAAATTTTAATCATTTTCTCAAAATGTGAGGGAAATCCAGAAAAACTTATATCCTTCTTCACAAGAACTAAGTTGACTTATTTACAATAAATCAAGTTTACATAAAACTAAGGCCTTATAATAACCTTAAATACCAAGGGCTACATAAAACCAAGGCCTTACATAAAACCAAACCTTATAACTGCATTGTGGAATCATGCTTATCCATTAATAGCATTAACTCATAGTGTTTGGCGTCAGTTTTTGATTGCTCTGAGAAGTAGTTTTATATGTGCTTTAACAACAACTTTATATGCAATGAAATTTTAAAGTATTCTGGTTACTTAAGCTTTCTGGTTAATCGACTGCAAAATAATCAGGCTTTTATTGTAATACACTTTGTATATCATAACAGTAAATTAAGTATGTACAATTTTTGATGTTCTAAAATTTTAAATGTTTGTTTTCAAACTTTGTTTAAAATATATAAAAATTTAAGTGTTCCAGAACTTTTGACACTAAATTCAACAAGATTCGCTAATAAAATAAATTTTCAAAGGGAGCTTATTTTTTAATTCTTTTGTGCTTTTCTATCCAAGCTTATATGCTACCAGCTTAAGAAACAGAGATGGCTTTCTAGGAAAAAATTCAATTTTATACTTATTTTTGAAAGAGTATGTTTATGATTATATCCATGAAGCTTAATGAGTTTAATCCATCAGTATGACAGATTATATTGATGGATAAACTTGTAGAGGCATTAGGTAATTTTTGGAAGCAGAAAAGATGAAAAATTAGCAACACCTTCACCAGGAAATCGAAACCATCGGACATCTGGAATACACGCCCCAGCATGCAGACACCACACCGCGAAGGCATGCCAATAAGACGGAAGAAATACCTTATTAGCTGATTATATTCTTGAAACTGCAAATGTAAAAGAGTCAAATTATTGAAGAAGTAAAATATTAAATGAAAATATTTAACCTTGCAACCATAGCATATTTCTGTACCCGTGCTGGTCCTAAACGGAATGCTTGTTCTGCTGTGCCCGAATAATCAAGAGATGTGCATCCAATCCTAAAAACAGAAAAACAGCTGATTTACATCTATGAAATATAATACAAAAACTTAACAGAACTCATAGGTATAAATAATATATAACAAAATGTCACAATGAAGTAAAGATAAAAGCACAACAAATCCTCAGAAGTAAAATGCTGTCATCAAATCTGAATGCATAAGCAATTTTATCACATGGAATTAAGATATTAAGCATTCATTAAAAACATGTAAAACTGAAATACAACAATATCCTAGAATTACACAGAAAATTCATAGATCAATGACAGAGATCAGCATGATGTAAATAAAATATAAAGATCACATTCATTTACATTTGATGAAAATTTTAATATGAATAGAATTATAATTTATGACAATTATATGTGATAAAAAGATTATTAATACACAGTGTATGTAATTTTAATCACAATTATGAAATTTAACGGATTAAAAACTTTGTACTGTATTTGAAAAGCAAAAGAAATCTCATAATGTAATCTAGGCCAAGGCAGAAGTCATGCAACATTTCCTTAAAAACATTTTACATTGGTCTTCTTTCCTTACCATTTTAACGCTTTTTATTCCATTCCTGACTGCTGCAACTTGCTAATCATTTGAATTTGCATCTTCAAAGAGACTGACCCTAACTTCAATCAAGGTGCAATTACTGCTTAGACATGTTACTGTACAATCCAAGAATCTTAGGTTTTAAAGGATCCCAAAACCTTTCAGTGACTAATCACAGCCTTTTGCTTATGAACTGTTTTCATGAAATTAGACAGTGGTGATCCCATAGAGAATGGCAAGCAGCAAACATTCTTAATCAGATCCTACCTTAAATAAGAACTGATGCTTCATGTAATTTTGAAACCAACATATGCCCCCTCCCATAGCATTAGGAAAAGATCGTAGAGCATTAGTTTCTCCTCATGAATCAAATGAAAATTGTTCCTTTAGGTATCTCTAAATGGTACAGAAACTCCTTTTCTAACAATCTGTGATGAAATTTGTGAAAACATAAATCATAGCAATGCAAATCAGGATCATGGGATACCAAATTTATGTCAGAACAATTTAATTATATAAAAATGACTTGTCATAACATAATTTTTTTCACAAAATGCAAAACTGAAATTCAGTTTAATGTTTCATACCACTAATGATAGAAAAAAAAGCCTCAAACAGATTCTGAATACAGTAATGAATTTGTCAGCACACTGCAGAAGGCAGGAATCATAATCATATAGACCAGGGTTTCTTAAACATTTTTTAATAGTGACCCCTTTCTATTACCAAGATTTTATCGCGACCCCCAAGACCACATACTCGTAATATTTACAAAAATTTTGTGGGACCCCCATAAGTATTGCACAAATCCGACACACGCGTGAGTGAAACTGTGAATTTTTTTCACTTGTACTGTAATATACTATTGCAGTTTTAGGTCATTAATTTTAATTTCTAATTTTAAGACATAGAACAATGTGAAAATTGTAAGTAACGAACGAAATGACAGCATCACGTGCAAAGCAAGGAAAATGAACATTGAAACATTTTCGTTTTTTCTTAGTCTGTATTGTCTTATCTTTATCTATTTTCAGATACATTGTGTAAAAATATTTGGTAATTGTAATAAGTTAAAGAAATATCAAAACTGTTAACATTTTTGCCAACCCCCTGCTGCATGTCCCACGACCCCCTTGAGGGTCACAACCCAAAGTTTAAGAAACCCTGATATAGACGATGATAAAAAGTATCAGAAATCATTATAAACAAAATTTATTATGTCAGAAGCGAGGTACACAATATTAAATTCATGGCAATCTTCCAGACAAACATTCAAGAAATTATTAAACTCTCACATCTGCTAAAATAAAGATTTTCAGCAAGCCCTGCATTAGTGAATAGTAAGATAGGTAACTCATGCAGCTCATAGATAAATTTCCATCAATCAATCAAACCTACTCAAGTTCTCCTCTTCCTTTTCTCTTATTTAATCAACTTTCATATTTTTAACATGGTTTAAAATGTGGTTTAAGTTATAAAAAAGGTCATAGATGATAGAAATATCCAAATCACATATTAAAAACATTTTGTAACTTATAACAAGCTAATTATAGACAATATTTAATAAGAAATTACTTACTTTCTTGCTAGTGTTTTACTGCTAATGACTAACAAATGCATACAATGGACACAAATAACACCTAAAATAGGAATGCCTACACTGCCCACCTAGTAAAGAGAAAACGGAAATCAAACTTTTGATATATTAATGAATAGCTATTAATAGTATAAAACATAATTAAATACCTGGATATTAAGGTACTGAGAAAAATGACACTTTAAAAATTTACCTTTTTGTAAAAACAAGACACAAAGGGATTCTCTCCCCCCCCCTCCATAATGTAAAAGCATGGACGATTTTTTCCCCCAATTGTGGGAAAAAGTAGTGTTTTTCCTTTAGCTCTAATTGTATTGCAATTTAATTATGTTTAAATTATAAAGTAAAGCTGAGTTTTCTGCTCCAAAGTCTACAATTCGTTTAAAGTAAGTTTTGTTTGTAGATGTATATTATATGTACACCTTACACAAAAAAAAGGGGGTACATTTCTACATCTCCTGTTCTACTGGACCAATTTTTGTAATTTAACTTGTATTTTTTATGTCTCAGAAGCACGACTTAGGATATATATTAGATTTATATATAGCATTTTTCTAATATAGGTAATTTAACAAAAAATCGACATTTTCTGAAATAACATACCAATTTTTTTTCATATTTCAATTCTATGACTCAAGTTATGCCACAGTGCAAAGTTTTGTAAAAACCGCACAATTAGTTTTTAAAAAATTAGCTCTCAGAATTTTAGCTCCTCTATGTTAATTGAATTTAGTTTATATTTATCAATATCTTTTTTTAAACTAATTTGATTCTTTCTTTCCCATTTCAAAATTTAGTTTCATTCCAAATAAAATTCATCCATTTTTATGATTTATTTTTAAAATTTGTATTTTTAAATAATTTTTATAAATTTTTTGAAAAATAATATGAATAACAAACTATAAAAATTTTACCATCATCTTAAAGTAGATGTACTTCTAAGCATGCTTGCAAAAAATTAGAGTTTTTTATTCAAAATTTCCTATGATATGAGTAAATTTACATATTCACATGTTTTTAAATTTGGCATATTTGTTATTAGCGATAATAATGCCAAATATGGTTTACGCACTTTAAAATTATTAGAAAGTATGAATGATGACTTTTTTCCTGCTCATTTACAATGAAAAAAGGAAAGGAAAATAAGTTGCTATAAATTAAGAAGTTTGCCGAGTGAATTATTCTTGACACAAACTGAAAAAAATGTGCCAAGACAAATTTTTTAATTTCTCCATGAATTTCACCAAAAATTACAAAATTTAATACCTAGGCATAATTTGAGTCGTAGAATTGAAATATGGAAAAAAAATTAGAATGTATGTGGAGGTCGTTTTAAGGGCCATAGAAGAGTCCTGTACAGTGTAACAAGTATTTATTAACAGGTTTAAGTTACACATGAACATTACATTTAACTTTAAGAATATTACAGAGCAAGAGTCTGATACAACCTATCATGTGGGATGCTTGGCTTTTACTGAAGTACTTCTCTGGCTACTCACCAGATGGAGCCTTATTGTCACAATTAGTCCAACAGTTTATATTAAAGGATTGGTTACAAATGTTATTTCAGAAAAAGCTCGGTTTTGTGTCAAAATACCTACGTTAGAAGAATGATATATAGAAGTCTAATATATATCCTAAGTCACGCTTTCCAAACATAGAAAACACAAGTTAAATTTCGACAATCAGTCTAGTAAAACGGGAGCTACAGAACTATCTCCTTTTTTTGTGTGCAGGGTGTACATTAATGTTTGACAATTTTTTTATTTGAAACATTGAACACAGTACAGTTTTTAATTCATTTCATGAATTAATTTATTTTGTTAATAAACTGGTCATGCTTTGCGCAAATTATGTCGTAAAATAAATCAATAAAATAACTGACCTACCTTTGTTTAAGTTTTATTTAATGTTATTTAATTGTTTAATGTTCATTTAATCTGAGTCTCAAATTGTATATACATACAACTTTAAAATTGAAATTTTTCTCAACGTTTTTAATTTTTCCATTCTCATCTCGGTGTTATGCATGTTGTAGTAAATTCCATGCGTCTGCTTATTTGGCAGAATATTACTATTAAAATTACTATAAGAATTATGATTCAAGCAAAAGGCAGGAAATTTGTTGATATATATTAGATTGCAGAATAAGCAATAAAAGTTTCTAACACCAAGCACTTAACTAAAACTGACCGGTTTGAATTTATGACCTTTTACAACAGATAAGAAAATTTTGAATAATTCCCTTCTAAGACTGCAAACACATTAAAAAATGAAAAACAGAACTGAGATGAAAAATTAATAATTTCCTTCATATTTTTGGAAAATACTAATCTTTCCTGCTTAAACCTGAAAACATACACACTATTAGTAAAGTTCATACAAATCTATATATAATTATATATAGAAGTAATAAGACAATATACAGTCAAAAGTCATTAATCTGGACTCGTTGGGACTTCGGCGATTCCAGATTATCGATTTTTCCGGATTATAGATCATCAGTTTAAATCTGGTAAGATGGCATGCAGAAATTAAAAAATTAAAAATATGAACCATAATTTATGAAATAAAGAACAATTATGATCTAAAGGGTATCAAAATTTACAAAAAAAAAAAAAAAAAAAAAGCTTAATATTTATTTGTTTACTTTATTAAACAGTTCTTTCAACGCGCGCACGCGTAAAGCATATATTAGGCATAGTCGAAATTAGAAAATTGCAACTAGAAAACTATTTGATGTGTATTCGTGATATTTATAATGAATTTGATTTAAATCATATAAAAGACAGAGTACATCGAGATGAAATACTACATTTAGTAATGAACTATAAGTCGAATAAAATAAAAACATCTGCCTTGAAGATATGGATAGTGCTGACAGATCAACTTCCAATTCATTGTGCGCAGTGGCATTTCCCCCACCACCACCACCAATTCACAATGGACTTCGAAACATACTTTTGCTTTGTAGATCCTTGTTTAGTATAAATCGGAAATTCTATTTGGCATAATGGTTAAAAAAATTGCTCTAATCCAATTCGAAGATTAAGGAACAACGCAATCTGCAACATTAACTGAATTAGATCATTTTAGCTTAGCTTATACCGTCCATTATACATTAAACACACATGCGCACACGCATATTCGCAGCCATAAAGGTCTTACGCATGCACAGAAAGTTTGTAGCTTTGAGGTCCGGATTATAGATCATTCCGGATTATGAGTGTCCGAATTAATGACTTTTGACTGTATATATATACATATATACAAGTAATAGACAATATATATACACTAATATAATTCAGGCTTAACTTTATCAGCATGCAATAGAAGCAATACAGAAGGGAGTGGAACAACATGTTGTTAGTTGCCATAATGGCAATTTAAAAATATGATGATGATGATGATGATGATGATGATGAATGATGGATGGTTACATGGATAATGCAGTAAATTGTTGGTTGAAATGCTTCTTTATTCTTGGCATAACATCGGTGTGAGACACATACCCAGTAGTCCATAATTACAAATATAAATTTCATATATTTATAATATTTTTATTGCTAATGATTTAGTTATGTTTAGTTAATTATGATTGTATAGAAGATTTTACTTTTACTGTTATTTAACAGTATATATATCAATGATATATACATATTTATAGCATTTTTTCTGTTACAGGTTTAATTAAAGTTTTTATTTAACTATGACTAAATAAAAGATTTAACTTCCATTTTAGCTCTTAAGCAAACATACCTTATTAGTGTTATGCAAAAATCACATGACAAATTAATTTTGAGCAGACACACTTAAAAAATATTTATTACAAGCATATTATTGTTTTCAGGATAGAAATAGGAACTAAAAGGGTGATTTCAAAAATTATTACACATACATATACATAAATATATATTTTCCCAACGGCCAGCTCTAGCTGTTTATAAGCATTTTCCACTCCTAAGGTTGAACACAATAGTCTCTTTATTGCCAACGTTACCTCTTATGAAAGAATGGACAAATTATGTCCATGTCTTCTAAGGGCCCTTCAGTATGGTAGCCAGAGTCACTAACCACTTTTCCTGTTTGGACACACACACAGATGTATATAAAGCAACAAAATATTGATAGAAGAAGGATAATATACTTGCCAGAAGGCCAGCATTTGACACAGCATTTGGCATAGCTAAAATTCCAGTGCCAATGTTTCCCTTTAGCAAATGCATTAAGGTAGCAAAATTTCTAAGTAAATAAAAATAATTAAATAAATAAGGAAAACAGAAATAAGAATGACTAGTATACTAAATTCAATCATTCATTAACTATAAGAATATAATTTATGAAATTATATAATAAGTAGTCATAATGAATTTTGCAATAAATGTTAAACATATTTGAAAAATGAAAATTATATCTGCCTGATACAGAAGATGAAAAAAATATTTCATCTAAGCTATAGAAAAACATTTGCTTGTATTAGCAAAAAAATTTATTCAACTTTCTGCATTAAAAAAGAAATTAAATGCCACTTTATTTATAATTCATTATTTAACCAAGTAATAAATTATTGTTAAGAATTGTGTTCAAGTAATAAATTATTGTAAAATAAAAACTTTCTAAAGAAAACTAACACTTCAATTTCATATAACTGTTCTTTGTTATTAAAAATAAATAAATTCAAAATACACAAAAATCAATCTTTACATGAATGTTTCTTCAACAACATAAAATAAAATCACGCAAAATTTAATTGACTGGAATTACTAAACCTCTTTTTCAACTTGAAATGATAAGAAACTAAACTTAAATTCAACCACTATTATTTCAGATTTTAAGTAAAATCATAATTCTAGCCATAGCACATCAGAGCTCCAAATAAGATGAGCATCAGTATTTTTATTTACAGTTAAACCCAGCTGTAATGAACCCAATTTATAACACCCTACATACACATATATACACACCAATATAACAAACAAACAAACCTCTCAGTCCCATTCAATTTCCATATAGTTATTGTTATTTTATACAGTCAAAAGTCATTAATCTGGACTCGTCAGGACTTCGGCGATTCCGGATTATCATTTTTCCAGATTATAGATCATCAGTTTAAATCTGGTAAGATGGCATGCAGAAATTACAAAATTAAAAATTTGAAACCGTAATTTATGAAATAAAGAACAATTATGATCTAAAGGTATCAAAATTTACAAAAAGAAAAAGCTTAATATTCATTTGTTTACTTTATTAAACATTTCTTTCAATGTAAGTTGTTTAAGTTGCTATGTTTCATGTGATAATACTTTCTCTTTAATTCTATTAAACAGACATAATTTCTTGTTTAGTTACAAAGTTCCACTGTCAAGTCCTATAATTGCTGTGTCGAGAATACCGACTAATTTGTCAATCGAGATTTTTTCGTTTTCAATAAACTCTGTGTCACTTTCTTCACTATCCGAGGAACTTGATTTAAACCATATCAAAAACGGAGTGCATCGAGATGAAATACTACATTTAGTAAGGAATTATAAGCCAAATAAAATAAAAACATCTGCCCTGAAGATAAGGATAGTGCTGACAGATCAACTTCCAATTCATTGTGCGCAGTGGCATTTCCCCCACCACCACCACCACCACAGAGCAGTGTAAAGTTGATAAACAAATTTCGGAATGGTTAAAAAACAAAGGATATGCCTTTATCCATTTTTTGCAGCAATTCCACTTTTTGTTTAATGGACTTTGAAACATACTTTTGCTTTGTAGATCCTTTACATATTAGTAAATATACATCGGAAATTCTATTTGACATAATCGAAAGTTTAAGCTTACTTTTATAAAATTGCTCTAACACTCTTCAAAAAATAATAAGCGGGATCCAATTCGAAGATTAAGGAACAACGCAATCTGCAACATTAACTGAATTAGATAATTTTAGCTTAGCTTATACCGTCCGTTATACATTAAACGTGCATGCGTAAACGCATTATGCGCATGCGCACAGGCGTATTCGCAGCCGTAAAGGTCTTACGCGCATGCGTAAACGCCTATGCGTCAACGCGACGCATGTGCAGAAAGTTTGTAGCATTGAGGTCCGGATTATAGAACATTCCAGTTTATGGGTGTCTGAATTAATGACTTTTGACTGTACTACAGTTACAAAGCTATGAAAATTGCATATAATAAACTATATGGATATCTTCGATCAAAACGCTTTTTGTAGTTTTTAAATTTTTTACAGATTTTCAAAAATTCTGGCCTAAAACTTACTAATCATCCACGTTTAGGATATCAAGATCTATGCTCTATTTCTAAAGAAAAACACAATTATATTACTTTTCTTTTACCTTCAACTCCATTTTTTTCCTACCATTTTTTTTCTATGTGCCAGACAAATGTTCTGCAAGAAGACGTGAACCTATGAGAAACAGTAGACAATAAACGTTATCTTAGATGCCATATGGTACACGTGACTACTGAACCAAAGAATATGAATAGATTCTGATTCCACTCAAATCCTTTGATTGAGCTGTCAGACAGAAGCTCTGTTCAAGGCTAATGTTATATTACAAGTTTTGAAATTTCTGTTATTCAAGGAAAGAAGAAAGAGTCCCAATTGTTCAATTTCACATCAGTTTTGACACCAACTTTGGGAATATTTATTATTATTTGGCTTCATCATTGCATGACTATCAACCCACTGCAGCTGGAGATATAATTACACAGCTATGTCTACACAATTTTCTTTTAAATATTATTAATTGAATGCCAAACAGCAAGGTAGCTTTTTATGTTGACATTATGCTTAGCGACGATTACAGATTTCAGATAACTTCAGCTGCTAACTGTTGAGTCTGTTGATGAGAAGAAATTTAACATAATTTTTTTTTTATGTCTGTAAAAAATAGATTTTATAAAATAAAGAGATAGCAAAATCTTTAGAATTACAAAAGACACTGGGACACAAAATTTAAGGCTAGTAAATTTTTTTTTAATTTAGGAGGTGATTGGCAGCAGAATTTTGGACTCTCAAAGACTGCATCAGGATGAAAAATATCTAGTGCCATCTTTGGACAAACCTTAAGTACATGGGAGAATTTATTTATTCAGAACTTAGCTAATCATTAAATCAGCATGCAATAGAAGCAATACACGATGGAATGGAACATGTTATTGGTTGCCATACTGCTATACACTACTGATACATTGCGAATAGTGTATAGAAGACGCTAGCTAAGCTTTACGGTGATTGTCGCGAGTTTGAATGTGTTCAGATATTGCAAAAAAGCAACATTTTCCAATACATAGTTTGAATTAAATAAATAATAAATGGAATTTGTGAAGAAATGTAATAAATGAAGATGATATAAATGAAGTATTCCATTGCAACGACAATGCCCCAAACATCAATCAAGTAATGCACATTGAAATCTGTAGTATGGTTCCAAATCCAGAAAATAAGACTAGTGATAGTGAAGAAAAGGACACAGAGGTTGCTGAGAATGAAAAAATGTTGATTTACAATTTAGTGGGAATTCTGGACATGGCAATTACTGAACCTGGACAATGTAACTGAATAAGAAATAATGTCTATCTAAAGTAAACAGGAATTATAAGCACAAAAAGCTAATTAAACAATTTATATTGAAATAAATGTTTATTAAAGCCAACAAATAAATATTGAAACTCTTTTTTAATTCTGATTCTCTTAAGATCATAAATGCTTCATTATTTCATAAATCACTATTTCTTATTTTTAATTTTATAATTTCAAATATCATCTTACTAGATTTTAGCTAATGATCTAATATCCAGAAAATCCAATGCCCAGAATCGCTAAACCCGAGTTCAGATCTCGAACTTTGTAATAGATTAACTATTTTTAAAAAATTATTAATTAGATTTGCTATTGCTGTTAATAAGCCAAAACCAATTATTAAATGCAATTATAAATTTAAAAATATTTACTTGATATATTTTTGTACTTTACTTCATTTCCCCCCCCCCACCCTCCCACAAGATCTGTTGGGAGTACTGAAATTAAGGAATGCATTTCAGAATTGAACAGCAATAATATATTATCACATCTGAATGATTTATGTAGTGAGTTAACATTAAATATTCTTATAGTCTAAATTATAAGTTTCATTTCCTATTTAATAATTACTAAATTCAAAATATGCCAATGTACCATAACTGAAGTTTAACATATTTTTAACTATACTTGGTAAACCACGGACAAAAGAAATCACTTGTAGAATTACTAACATACTTAAAAAGTTTTTTTTTTAAACTTTATGTGAAAGATTTGTGATGATGATTAAGGAAATCTTATATTTTTTTATTTGGAAGAGCATTAAAAAAAGCCATAGTTAATCTAGTATGTTAATTGATATCATTTCCATAATTACATATGTAATAATATTTATAAATTATGAAAAACATAACAATGTTTAATCAAATTATTTCTGATAAAAGAAAGTATACAATGCAAGTAATTGAAGAAATCCATATCAAACAAAATAAATAAAATGTTAAATACTAAACGTGTACATTAGAAGATACAGAGGAGAATACATAAATTTTAAAAAACTAAGATAACTTACGAAGTTCGTTGTGAATGACTGATTTGCTGCTGTGACTCCAGCTCAGATTCCACCACATTACCAAGCCGAGCCACAGTATTTCTGTCTCTTGGCAATAAGCGTGCAGCTTCTGTCTCATCATAATTCGGTAGTATGACATTCTTCTGCAAAACAACAAAAATTTAATTTTAAATATTAGTGCATTCTAATAGGAAAAGTTAAAAAACAAAATCAATAATCATACATTATCAATTTTTTATGTCCAGTGTTCTGCTAAAAAAAATTTGAAGACATAAAGATATAAGGATTTGGAATTTTCTTTATAATGCCTGTTTTCATCTAATAAATATGCAGACTACAGGTTCTCTGTTTAGTGAGCCATATTACAATAATCATGCTCTACATTTTTAAACTCGTATATATTTTAAGAAAGAAGTGATTGCATCCTACCCGACATGCCCATTTCTATATAAATTATTACAGCCCTATACACTTAAAAGAACTATACTTCAAACAAATAAAAATCCCCAGCATAATGTCCTGCCAATTACTCAAACCTAAATTAATATTATATAGTATATACTATATAATATTTATACATATTAAATACATATATAATACAAGGCCTGTGTTGGACTTTTCGCCACCTGGTGTAAACTCTGGAATTCTGCTGCCTGGTTCCTTCCTAAGTGCTAAAAATTTTGCTGCCTGGCACAACCAGACCAGGTACAATGGCTTTGCTGGCAGCCTTATGATATTTTAAATACTTTACAGCAAATAAATAATGAGACTCTAGTACAAATTAGATTGTTTATAATCACATTTTTTTCAATAATTTAGACCAGTGCTCCGCAACCGGTGTGCCATGAGTAGGATATAGGTGTGCCGCAATCAAATACATGTATTTGACATTTTGCAATTTTTTGTCATGTATTTAATACACAATGACAATTTTTTCCCTTAATAATGTCTACTTTAAATGTTTTTATATATTTCACTGTTGTGTGGTTGTGTGTGTGATTGTAAGTGTGTCATCATTTGAATTTTTTCGGCACTTCCTTGATAACTCGGAACTCAAAAATATATAACTTTTTTTAAGCGCAGGTATCACATTGATAATTATTATGATTGCATATAAATAAATATGTTATGGTTTTATAATTGTATATTTTTCAAATTAAAAACAAAAGTTTACTGTAAATTTTGTGTATAAATCAATACATATATACATTAGCTTTTGGTGTGCCACAAAATTCCAGAAAGATTTTTTGTGCGTGGCAGGTGAGAAAAGGTTGCGGAGCACTGATTTAGACTAAGCAAGTAACTAATATTAATAGTGCATAAAAAATTAATTAGCAACAACCTTTACACTCAAGATAATACTGTCTGCTGCAATCAAAATATTCACAAGCTCCAAGGATTTTATGTAAATAACAGTATTTTATGTAAGAAATAGTTTTCCCCTTTCCGAAGATAAATTGTCCCCACTTAAAAAAAAAAAAAAAAAAAAAAATTTACAGCTGTTTTGGAATAAAAATATCCAAGATGCACAATAAATAGCACCACTCATAAATTATAGAAGAAAATTTATAACCATTGTTTTCTACAGGGAAAAAAAAAAAAAAAAAAAAAAAAAAAAAACATGCACTTCAAATATCCTTTCAAAAATTAAATCTGGCCCACCAGCGGCCGAGCGGTAAAGTTGCTGAACACTGGTAGTTCGGTCCGAGGTTCGAATCCCGCGAACGGGCTGGCTGCATGGGCGTTTTCGTGGTTTTCCCCATGTGTAACGTGTATACGAGCCAGTTTCACTTCGAAAGTCCTCCACGAAGGCATCCCTCCTCTTAGGCAGATAGCCCTAGTGTGCTTTGCCATAATTAAATACACCAAACACCAAAAATTAAATCTGTGGTCAAAAAAAGAGATATAAACTACTTAATGGATAATATCCTCAGCTTTTAAAATGACTGCCTCTACATCAAGAAATCATAATAAGATTTAAATTTAAGAAAAGAAAAATATAGTACTTGTTTTATTATAAAATACCTGATTCAGCACAAAACCAGATGTAGAACTCTTTATGAACATCATTCAGGATATGAAAAATGGAAATTTGCAGTTATTATATGCTAATAAAGCATGGCTATATTAGAGTATTATAGCAGAAAGTGATCAATTTACTGTCAAGCTTCGTTTCCTGAATCTAAACAATTTATGGCCATACCTCGCTTTCTATGTGAAAGAAATTAAAATTAAGTAATATCAAAAGAAATGCAAAAATAAACTAGCAACTACTTAAGCAATAACAAATCAATTATGGACACAAATCTGCCTTTAATGTAAAAAAAAAAAAAAATTCCACTTTTATCTGTGCAATGTAAAAAGTTGAATTTTAGTAGAACAAAGCCACAAGTCATACAACAGCATCTAGTACTAAAATTCCACACATATATACACACACACACAAAAAAAAAAAAAAAAAAAGCCATCTTGACATGAGAATTTAGGTATAAATAAAAAATTAAAAGAAAACAGCTACCAGATAAACACTTAAAAAATAGTATTTTAATACTAATTATTTAACTGCATTAAAATTATTCAAAGAAAATGTAAATGCCCTCTGTAATTTAATTAACATTTACTTCAAATCAAAAATTTAATTCAAAAATTAAACTATCTTCTGAGACAAATTTTGCTCAAAATTTGAGTGTCTGCTCTTTATGGATCAGTAGACAATATAGTAATTAAGAGTTAAATAAGTTTTTTCAAGACTTAATTCTGGAATAATACAAGAAATCTGATAAAAAGTAGTCAATAATACAGACATAAAAAAATAACAGTGAAGAGAAAAAACAACAATAATTTCAATAAAACAAGACACTAAGGCATAAAAAATTAAATACTTTCAGTCTTAAATAAATCCTTTTAAAATTAACTCATAAACAAATGTTACAGAAATATGTCATTAAAAGATATTTTCATGATATCTACAACATCTACTCAAATCTGAATTTGCACACAAAATTTTACTACAGAACATAGAGTAGGTTTTTCAGGATACAGCAAACACTTTTATTAAAATCTTGTTATGTCAATATTTTAACTGCAGCTGAATCTTGAAAAATTCTCTTTTTTACTACTTTTTTTCTATTAGTTATATCTTTAGCTAACATTTAAAATTACTGAGCGGTAAACATAAAAAGTATATAAATGTATAGAGAGTGAGCTTACATAAAATTCTATACAGGTTAAAATACTTTTCAGTGTCACATTATTAGAAATTATTGGATAACATTATTAGATAACATATATAGTAGAAAAAGGCAAAACTGGAAAGAAAATGTTAAATTTCAACCCACAATTTGCAATAAATCTAATTTTAATATTAAATAATCAAAATAGAACACACAGAAAAACATCCTTCAGGATATGGATAATAAAATATAAAAAAACATTGAAACTATAAATGCTAAAACATTAAAATTCAGTTGAAAATATGACATAAGACTACTATTAAATTTGATACATTTCAATATTTTGCCATATCTGAATTCAGCAAAATGCTCTTCCCTTGGACTGGAAAGCAAGGTACTTATACAACTGTTCACATACATGCAAGAAATCCCATGATATACAGATATAAGATTTCACTTATATGTATGAAATAGGTACTCTGTCAGTACTAGAATCAGTTCCAATTTGCATTAGTCATAAAGGAATATCAGTCACAGTGCAATTGCAATGTATATTCAAACTTTGGATGTAAATTTTAAAAAAATTACTAAAAATTTATAAAAATCAAATTGATGACCTTTTTTTAATTTTTCAATATAACATTGTATTGAAAACCTAAAAGGAAGCATAAATAATCTTTTAAAATATAAAACCATCATAACAAAACTAATTATATTATAGTTTCATGTAATTAAAATTTTAATTATCTTGCATTCATATTTAATTAACAATGTATATGTATACTTATATTTCAGTTCAAGGTATCCTTCTCATTTATAACAATTAATTTTACTAACTTAACAGTTAGTTCACCCATTACCTTTATAATAATGCTAAACCTAATTTTTATTGTTCCATACTTTCAATACATTATTACACAAAACAACAGTATGACTTTTCAGGATTAAAAATTATTTATTTTCTACAACTGATTTCTAGAGGTGTCAATAATATTTTTCAGGAAATTTCATTATTCATAAGCTCTCCACACTTTTCAACAAAACATTCTGATGTCCAAAAATAAATGGGTAGTTACTGGTAAAGTAATTTTAATACATGAATTTAAAATCTAACAAATGCTCATATGTACAACAATTATTTGTTTTATATGTATTTATTTTAATAAAATCATGTTGGAACAATACTGTATTCTTATTCAATTTCATGCTTCACTGTCTGAGAGAAAAATAAAATAAAAAATAAGGAAAATAAAGCAACTCATTTTCCCCAGCGTTTTAATTACATTGATATTTAACTCATAACTCATTTAAAACAACATACAGAATAAAAAATTAACATTCACAATAGGAAGCAACGTGAAGTGAACCGTCTACAATACATTATTTTTCAATTTAAATACAGCTGTCAGCTGTCATAACTGTATGAAATCCTCCCAAATTATTCACGCAAATTTTGATTGTTTCATACAATAAACAAGCTCTAGTTAACGATTCACACAGCTTTTACGCTTATGAGTTTGAAATTTGCTCACCATAACGAAGCATTGACAACAAAAGTTTACTACTTTGAACATGTAGCAGACAACTGGCAGAATCCGAGTCGGAAACTCATTACAGTTGTCGAGTTGAGTTGAGCGATAGCTTACAACATCACGTGAGTTTAAGCGGGAGGAGGAAAAAAATAAAACTGAACTTGGTATTTCTTACTTTATCATTCTCCAACATTTAAGCTGAGGCATAAACAAAAAATAAGATAAAATCACGTAAATGAATTCTTGATTGATGGCTCTAAAAATAATACTCTTCATAAATTCTCCTCTGAATTTGCGTAACCATGTTTTGAAATGCCTTATCTATTACAATATTTGTATGACAAGTTCGAGTATTGACTGAACTGAGTACACTGCCTTAATATAGAAAAACAAAATCACATATTTAAAAAGAGTTGTTCGAAAGTTGCAGTGCCAAGCAGTTTAAAAAAATAGCACTTTCTACATATAATATTATTCCATTATACGCCAAATTAAAACTTTTATGCTTATTATTAAGTATTCAAAAGGCAGTTGCGAAACTAAGGTTTTGACTTGCTGCTTTCTTGCACTCGAGACCTGCTACTAGTGTTTTCTGCAAGTGAAAGAGGAAAAAAAAATTTCTTTTCCCTTTCTTTCTGAGGACACAAAGTTTATATAGGAAAAAAAAACAACATCACGTGATTTTAAACGTTCATATTTTAAAAAAATACTAATAATAAAAATAAATAAATAATTTGAAAGGTTTCAGATTTTAGCGGTCGCCTAAAGGGTTTTTGAAGATTTTTGTGCTCTCACTGAGATCACCCTGCTATTGCATTCTAACCAGGCTTACCTTTACTTTTTTTTTTGGGGGGGGGGGGGTCTTTCTTCTTAGCTTTATTATTGAGCATCGATTTGTTCGCATTTACGCCATGTACACTTCAACACCAAACTCAGAAACATTTAAAAAGCAGCATACGCTTAGAAGTCCTCAATATCATGTTCAGTTTTCTTAGCAAAATGGCTTACAAAACTTTTTTTTTCAATATTTTTTATTAACTTTTAATGTGTTAAGCTCATTTATTAAATATCACGTTCACCCTTATGCCACATAAAATTCAATTCAACAGCAAAATCACAAAATATTTAAAAGCAGAAAAAATTCATTGAAGTTTTATAAAATATGAAATAAATAATAAAAAATATATAATATCCTTCCATGAAAATATTGAATATTTTTAATTAGATAGATCATAAACTAAATGCATTTTAAATATTTACATCACTCCGATTCAAAGGTACGAAATGAATATTCTTAAGAACACCATCTATTGGATTCATACAACTTAGTTTGTTAATCTACAACACATAGATTCAGTTTGAAAAGAAATATCTTACATTTTGCCGAACGGGAATCGACTCGAATGAAAAGTGAAAAGACACAATTATAGTTATTCGCAAAATCCTTTTCAAGATTAATAGACCCTTTTCGGCTTTTGAAAAAAAATCTTGTAATATAAGAGTTAGAGATTATAACTAGCTCTTCTTTAAAAAAATCACTACTAGTTTCATTTAAAACGGAACGTAATAATATGAAGTATTATTATTAAAACTCACGCGCTTTTACATATTAATTTCGTGTGCCTTTTTTATGAGCACTAAAATAAATGAAAATTATTACTTTAGCTCTTCATTTATAAAATGAAACAGTTATGTACCAAATCCTAATATATGACGTTCATTTTATTGTTAATTACAATAACGCTGCAAATTTTAATAAAAGCTATCAATGTAATGTACTATAAACTGAATGCATTTCAGTTTACACTGCTTAAATATATTATTAAAAATAAAATAAAAATGTAAATTATCAAGAAGCGCTCTTATTGCTTCAGTTTTTCAGCATGTTAAGCAGTTACAGGTTGATTAAATTTGAAATATATGGCAACGCTCTGAAAACTGACCATACACAGCTCCATAGCAGAATAATTGAAATTTCGAACAACAGCAACACTTGCCAAAGTGAATGAATAATCAATGCAAGGTAACGTAATGGTTGAAAAATTTTGGAAAAATCTTCTTTAAAAACGTTTCTAACGGGGGGAGAAATAAGGAACTATTGTGTATTTTCATTAGAAATGTGCAGCCTGTGTTAATTTAAAATAATTATAAAGCAACCATTTGGGATTTCTGCTCCTATATTCTTTGCCTACAAGCCTATTACAGGCCTTTGTCGTTTCAACAATATCCGATACTTCCTGTTCTTTCTAATGGTCTCCAGTTATTAACATTCAGGATCCTGGACTCATTCCCCATGCATTCACTTAATAGTTCCCCCCCCTTTTTTTTTTTTTTTTTTTCTTTTCGTCCC